CGATAATAATGCTTCGTCGTACTACGATTCCAGAATAGGGGAAAGATTCTCCTCGGGGAAGAATAGGTATCTCGAGGAACGCCACTGATCTTGGCTCCCCCGGGAATTATTCACAGAGGTATACCGAGAACGCCGAACGCCCGGCAATCGAGGGTGTTCCGCAAAGCATTCTGCGAGCGTCGAGACTCAAGCTGACGAATGCCGCGCGGGCGCCATCACGCTCGATAGGCGCCCATCGGCCGATACAGAAGAAGGAAAAAGGTCCATTGAGCTGGGTTTGATAAGATTTGTGATGCTTAAACGAAACGACATATACACAGATAGATCCAGACACTCACACGAAGACCACACGCCGAGGAACTTTGGCCCCTTCGTCGCAGGGGGTCGCGCTGTGTTGAAGGGTCTTCTGAATCGGTAAGGCATGTCCGTAGCTCTGCAGCGGAGCCGCGAGAGATCAACGGAAATTCGGAGTCATTTCGGTATGCAGTACTGTCTCGCTCTGGAGGACTACAGCAAGCTCCGAAGCGCGATTTTGTCAAAGTGCTACTTTCCAAGTCCCAGGTACCTCCGCGTGCAGTCCCGCGCGTCACAGCCGTGACTTCCGACAAGAGAAACAAGGCATTCCGCACGCCTCGGCCGATCCTCATGAAGACGTACCCCAAACATTCCACCTCTAAACATTCCCGATTGGTGTCTCTCCTCCAGAATCCTGCTTCTCGGTCGGGGCCGTAGGAGATCTATTGAATCGACATAAGCCAGGCGATATTGACCAAGAGCGTCAGCCTCTGAGCTGTTTCCGCGCGGTCATCCACATCACCCGAAGACAGCGAAATCAGGTCTGCGGCGGAGCCGATAGAGATTGAGCGAGATGATTTCTTCCGCTCACGAGATCGATAGAAAAAGTGCGAGCACGAGAGCATCCGAGCGAAAAAAAATGCCAAAATTGGGAGTCTCTTATTCGGGTAGCACCTGCGGTCCACTGGACTCGGGACGGTTTGGGTCGTTCTGTTCATGCTTCGCTCCTTCATTGGACTTCCGTTCCGCAAAACAGAGAGATGAATCCCTCCTGTCGGTAGCTTGTCACGAGAATCGTAGCCGAAAACTCGATCCCGAATCAGGCCTCCATGAATCTCTCCGGGAACGACTCACAGGAGCATCGAGCATCGGGACATGCCGTCTTGATTGCACCTCGAACTTGATCGCGGGAATGAATGAATGAATTACCTTTCGGTTTATTCGAAGAAAATTGAATCAAGTGAGATTAAGACTTGGAAATGAATGAATGAATGACATTCCATTTATTAGATAGAAAAACGAATGAATGAATGTATGCAGTTGTGCGCCTCAATGTTCTAAGGATGAAGCATACAATAGATCTACATTATAGGTATTCACATATAGGTATTCCGCATGGGACACGAATGACAGCATCTGGGAAGGATCCTGCGTCCGTCTACCATCGCCGCGGAGCCTGCCGAATGGATGTACATGTTTTGCGAACGTTTTCGTCATCCGACACCTCTGGAGTCCATTCGTTCGTATGTGATCATCACTAAGCGAATGTACCAACCTAAGGATATTCCACGCTCGATTTATTCGTGCTCTCACTAGTCAGTACCTAGTCACATCACAATCTCCTACATCACTCTACAGGCCAGGTCTTCGGCAGCGCGACTCCCAAAGACGCTCCGGGGAAACACAAGCCGCGACCGGGTTCGGATGAGCCATGCCATGAAATGAATTCGAACGGCGGAGGCAGCGTTTCGTCTTCCGAAAGTTGGATTTTCTGGAAATCGAAAGTCTTGAAGCAATTCCAGATGAAGCTTATAACACCAGAGCTCCGTTTGGTATCGAGAGTGTGCACATGAGTGTGCTCCAGTCTGAGGAACACCTTCCTGATATATTTGAAGAGTTCATCGGTTCCACCAGCCATGAACTTCGTTGCCGAGCGGAGACAGACCTGTCTCAAGCTCGGATCTCTTGAGAGAGCTTTCCAAAGCGCCACCGAGTGCAGGGGCAAATCAAGAGCCTCCAGTTGGAGGTACCGTAAATTTTGGCATTTTTGGAGAAGTTTGTGCAAAACTGAGAAATTGTTGTTCCGAAGAAGCCGTAGTCTTAGGACTCGAAGCCTCGGGTTTGCGAGATTAAGAAAGCCTGAACGACCGAGATTAACGTATTGCAAGGTCATTTCATCGAGGTACTCTAAGTCCTCTACGCCTACCAGCGCGGATGATGTCACTCGAACAATTGAGCTACACCGGCTGCAGTTTGAGCCGTCTCGGGGATGATTGACTTGTTTGACCCACTCGTGACAAAATCCCCGCACAAATAGCTGCTTCAATTTCATCTTTCGCATCACTCTCCGGGAAGACGAAACAATGTCAGGGTCGTTATCCCCTCTTCTGGGACTTAAGAAAAAACAAACATTGCACACCAATTTCTCTAGGAAGGGCGATGCTGAAAGAAGACCGAGTCGGAAACTTTGCGAGAACTTGCCGTGGCATCCTCTTATGTCAAGCTCTCTGAGAGCGGTCGTCAAGTATTCGTTCAAGTCGAGCGTCAGACACCGCAGAGTCGCGACACGGATGCAGCGAGGCGGGCCCCAGCGTCGTTCCGAGATTTCCGGCAAGCTCTGATCATCCGACAAATACAAGAAATCGAATCGCTTCAAATACTTCACTCTGTAGTCCTTCGCAGGAACGGCAACGGATTCCTCTCCATTGAAATGTCCGTGTTCGTATATGTAGCAGACCTGATCCCGCTCTATCCATCGGCGGACGCCGGGGCTGCGATTGTGAGCGAAAATTCTGCGCAGAAGACGTTGAGCCGAGTTTTTCGGGCTGAGGTGTCGCGAGAAAACCACGGTGTGGAGCGTACTCCAGCGTTCAGCGATCATGACGGGTTCAGTTTCTTCGCTAACCCGTCCCATCCCGAGAAGGTTCGCGAACAGAACCTCGATAGATGAGCACAGGTTCAGAAGATTGATCAAGTCGGTCTCTCGGAAGAAGCTCAGGTCTATGTGGAGCTCCTTGAGCCATTTTGCGCACTCGAGGTTCGTAGTCCGGTACAGAATGGAAAGGTGGAGCTTCTCTAATTCGTTCAATCCTACGTTCAGGTCGTTGAAGGATCCCTGATTAGCGTTGCTCAAGTTCAGCTCCTTAACGTGAAGGCACATCCCGATGACGGTGGCCACTTCGGGCCATGGAGACTTGCTGTTCGAGAGGTCCAGTCGTCGTACCAGAGATCCGTGTTCGCGCAGAAATTCCAGAACGGCTGGAGTGACTCTCTGTATCTTGAGATTTCTCACTGAATTGAGAGCGAGCCGTCGCAATCGAGCGTTGACCTGACCGACAACGATGAGGGCTTCGATGTCCAAGAAGTCCACAATTTCTTGTAGGATTATATCGAAGAGGTCGAGAAAGTGAATCCTGCGGGGAAAGTTTGCCTTGATGTCAACGTGAGGGACATGGAGGTTTTCCCCACGGCAGAGTGCTTTAAATCACCGATGGTGCCGGAGTAAAAGAAAATGGTTCTGGTATTCATACCTGTTCGGGCGCGAGACGGAAGCGACTTCTTCTGTGGCATCGGGATCTTCTCGCTTATCCGATTCCATTGTTCCGAGCGCTCCGAGATTTCTCGGGATGGTCACTTAATTTATCCGAGGCACAAGAACGATTCAGCGGTCAAGTTACTTCCGAGTCACGGAAAGCTTGTTCTGCAGCTCCACTCCCATGCTTTGCCGGAGAGCCTCGACTCCGTAACAACCGAAGTGATCTCGGAACAGACACCCACTGTTCGAATGAACTCAAGTGGCTCCAAAACAAAGCACGCTCGACGACGAGAAGCGCGCCGACCCTCGCCCTGGAGTTCGGCTGCTCGAAGTTCCGAGGATTTGGCGGCGTCTTCGAATTGTCTTCTTCACTCGAGATGGCAGTGGGTCGAAATCTGCCTCAGAGATCGGAATGTATCACAACACTGACTAGTGCTGAAGAGCAACAGCGACTGTCCGACTTTTGACTCTCCTACATATCAAGAGCGATCTCGTATCATCATATATCTTTACAATTGGGACCAATCCCATGAGAGGAGATGTTTTGAGGAGGGGTGATCCGTGGTGATTGGTGATGGACTCCGCGGAGGAATGCCGCCAGAGCCCACCTCGTTTCACCCCCCGACACTAACTGAGAATGAAAACACTGAAGATACAATCCAACATTGCACCTCGGTGGGGTCGCGACGCTCAATCTGATTGATCGATTCATTGATTGATTGTCATTCTTTTCCGATCGTCGCAAACCGAGGGTTTCATCCGGTACTGAGGAAGGGTGTTACCATTCTGCCTCTCCGCTCTCTCATTGTTTTTCATCACGGAGCCCTATTCTTCGGCGCGAATTGGTAATGATAATGATTATTCTCCAATCGAGGACGGCCTAATTAGATGGGGAAGGTACAGCTCCAACCGGTCTGAAGCGGAATCGGAACATCGGGTAACGTCGTTATTCCCATCCGGAATCGAGGATCGGACCGTTTTCAAAACCCGTGGTATTGGTGCGGGTGCTCTCTGCTGTCGCAACATGAGTCGTGGCTCTGATCATCGAGCGACTGGAGCTCTGGATGAAATGCTGACTCCCCTTGGAGATGGCACCTCCCTCTGCATATGTAGCGGCATTTTCCTGTTTCTCTCGGCTACGATAGTTCTGGTCCTTATCGTATACCCTGGTGAGATCCCGACGTCTGAATCACCAAATACCCCCAGCTCGTCTGAGCTGACGGAAGCGACGCCGAATACCTTGATTCCGAACGATTCTTCCCAGCTTTGGCGAGAGGCATACGAGAAATCAATCGATCCCTCAGTGCGACCCTGCGAAGATTTCTACCGCTTCGTATGCGGCGGCTATCACCGGAAACTCCGAAAATCTAGAGTCGAGCACTCCGCTCGGGGAATGGTCGGACGTTCGGTTGACCTTGAGCGCATCCTGCAATCGATTTTTCTCGAGCGCATGGCAGAAATCGGAAAGCTGCTCCGAGATGATGCGAAGGCGTCGGAGCTCAGGGAGTCCGAGTTCGAAATGTTCAAGTTTTTCGATAGTTGCGTCAAGTCGGCATCTACACAGCATTACAAGCAATCGCTGGTCGTGCTCAAGAAGCTGTTCAAAGATCTGGGGATCGACTGGTATGGAGCGACTCACGAGAGCTCTGCCCCGGTTCGAGGACAATTGAAGGCAAGCTTGCAGTACGGCCTCGATCTCGCTGACGAGATCGTGTCGATTGGTCCTCATGTGAACAAAGATGCCGCGGAGCTCTCCATGTCCGTGGCTGGTCACTTCCCATTCGAACTGCAATCTAAGGCTATGTCTACGAATGACTTCGACGCACAGGAGATGTCCGATTTGGCGGCTCGATTCGGTCGCAAGCTCTCCGACTTCGAGAGATTAGTCCGAGACCGGCCAAATAATTTCACATCGGGGAATATGCGACGATTATTGAGAGCTCTAGAGATTCCAGAGTTCGACGTTAGAACCGAGAAGAGAGTTGGCGTGAATTCATTGGCAGTCAGAGTCTTCGTGAGTGAGGTGGTGTCGCTCTTCTCCCTGAAGCCTTCTTGCAAGATGAATTACGTCGACGAATGGATTTTGGGCGATATAGAAGAGGCCACCCGAACGCCCCTTGCTGAAATACTCGAAGAGTACTTCGATGACTTCACCGTTCTCACCGATGGGACCAGGGTCCACGCTTGTACAGCCTCAGCAATCGCTGGCTTACAAACATACCTGAACGACTCATACAGGAGGATGTTCCAAGATCATTTGGGCTCCGCTCTCTTGAAACGATTTAGTCGCCACATCGGCGGCGAAGCGACGCGTATTTCCTGCGATCTTGCTAAATGTAGCAAAGTCACAGAAGAATCATGCAGCCGATTGGTAAGTTAGCTCTAGGATCCGATGCGGGAGCATCGATGGTTACCTCGTGCAGGATTTTGCATCATGCTCAGATAGATTGAAATCGGCGCTAAACTCCGATATCGGAAAGTCTGCGCTCTAGTATCTTTACTTCTCGAAGCTATTTGGGTGATTTGTGGGAAAGGGAATAGCATCCGTCTCTCCCGCATAGCGGCGGCGATGTCCCGATGCTGATCCTGGATCCCAAGGAGATGAGGAGCGCTTACAGCTTTTGTGGAGATGTAGGAATGAGTCGAACCTCGCATTGCAGACTCAGAAAAGTTTACCATTCACGTACTTTTCCTTGATCCGGAGATCATTAACGACCGAGTACACCGAGATCAGGACGCGCTACCTGATAAGTTCACTCAAACTGAATTACGCGAAGGTCTGCGACTATTCTCTATGGCTGTTGCTCCTCCTCGAGCGGAGTCGAGATTGAAACAAGCTCCGATCGAAGCAAAATTTCTCCTCGTCGGTTTTCGATATTGTGAATTGCTCAGGTTCTCCGTCGGCAAACTTGGATGGATTCTGGAACAAGGCATAAGCTCATGGATAAGCTCTCGGCTATCGTCGATCACATCGGCTCGCCGCCTCACTTGGATCGGCTTGAGCCGACGGAAGTCAGCGCGGTGTTCACGTCGAATTTCCTTGAAAACACTCTCCGTTTGCTGAAATCTCGACAAGATGCCAAACTCTCCGAACTGTATCGACCAGCTCTGCGCGACCGACGTGTCTGGCCACAGCTCGAAATCACCGTGAGACGTTTCCCGATTCCCATGCTGCTCCCATAATCCTCTCTTGATAACCAGCCTGGGCAAATTCGTTAATTTGATTTGATCACTTTATTTCTTGATAGGGAGTCAACGCTTACTACGTGTCGCCTCTGAATGTTCTACTTTCACCGAGTACGATGCTCGCCTTCCCGTTCTACGACGAGACTCTGGATGTGTCTCGGACGATGGCGACTTACGCCTTCGTTCTCGCACACGAGATGAGTCATGGCTTCAATCCTTACGGAGCAGCCTTCGGACCTTTTGGAGTTCCCGAGAAGACAATGTCGTCTGAGTCCGAGAATATTCTCCTCGTGAGTTACCCTTCACGTTAAATCAATTGAATGGGTCGAGAGAAGTGGTGCACATGGGAGCCATGAAGTATCATTGAAGTGATGCCACTTGATTTTTTTCTCAAGAGGAGATCGCGATGTCTCTCGAAGCAATTCGACATATCGAATCCCTTCGATCCCGGGAGAGATATATCTGGCAGACGTTTTCTCGGCGAGACCACGGCGGATCACTTGGCGCTCCAAGTTAGCATCGAAGCTTGGCAAGGGTTGATTCAGCGAGAGAGGATGCAGGCACCTGAATTATCTGGGCTGACCTCAGAGCAGATGTTCTTCGTGAGATTTGCGTATCCTTGGTGCTCTGCGATACCTTCAAGCCTCTTCCGTAAAATGCTGCACGGTTTTCACGGTCATCCTTTCGCCTTTGCTAGAATCAACGTAGGATTGGCCCACACAACGAAGTTCAGAAGAGCCTTCGGGTGTACGAGCAAGGACAAGATGTTCCGGCAGAAGCCATGTCGGATCTTCGACTGACGTCAGACCCTAAGTATAAGTCTCCGTCTCGTGGTGTGCTCCATAGGACGCACCTGTCCCATGCCGCTCGTCAAGGACTGCTTTCGAGCATTCATGCCATCAGTGACCGATATAAAGGAGAACAACACTCCCGAGGGACGATGGCTCCTCGGAAATTGCAAGAGCCCGTCGAAGTTTGGAATGAGGGTTTGGAAGTCGACCAATTATTCGGTGACCTCGAGAGCTTTATTCACCCGAGGACTTCCCCACTTATCCTTCCGATGAGATCTAGCTGGATAGGACAAACATCCGGCCAGGACTGCCCATTCCCGCCCTCTTTCATTAAAGCATACCGAAATGATGATTCAAGGTCTTCTAAGCTCTAGGACAAAATCACAGTCGGCAAAGATGTGATCGCGACTCTTACCTCGATGACTTCCCAGCTCCGCTCGTCCCAAAGTTTTTTAGACAAGCACAATTCATCTAATTCAGACCCGGGCCAAAGTATACCGTGCGCGAGCTTGTGAGCTAGGATGAAGCCTTAAGATCCAATGCTATGCGAGATGTCAAAGTTCTCATCGTAGAACGGAAAGCCGCCGAGGGAACTCGGGGTCACCAGCGCGTTGATGTGCATCCTGTACAAGGCGTTCACCCTCTGGGGATTGGAGAGGATATTTTCAGCGTTATGAATATGATGATCAACCCAACGATTACACCCTAGCGATGATCTTCGCCATGTTCCCCACCGTTTTCAGTTAGCTCGGCCAGTGATGTCGATGACGAACTGCTGGCCTGTCGTACTACGACACAGCAGTCTGAGCTGCGCTCTTATAATACCGTAAAACGTTCTCAAGGAAACTCGTCGTGCGAATACGACGGAATGTTCTGTCGTTCCCCAATGATCCAGATGGGGAGGATATCCGATGTGCTCTATCATTGCTGCCACTTTCTTGAGTAGGTTCAGTTTGGTTTCTTCTTCCATCCAGGTCTGACTTCTTATTGTCTGCGGGCGAGAGAGAATCCCATGAGGGGTGGGCCCAAGGATTTTAATGGATAATTATAGATGACTAGCGCTCCCGGTCGCCGCTTCGCGGCGACTCGGTATCGCCAGACTCACTACACATGCGCTAGCTCCGAGTGCGCTGGCTCCGAGTGCGCTGGCTCCGGGTGCGCTTGCTTTGGTCGCGCGTGCTCTGGGTGCGCGTCCCGTTTCCCCGCTTTCCCGTTTCCCCGCTTTCCCGTTTCCCCGCTTTCCCGTTTCCCCGCTTTCCCGTTTCCCCGCTTTCCCGCCCCCGCTTTTATTAGATATGTCCTCCGGAAAATCGATACCCTTCACGGCTACAGCGATTTTCAGCGAGATTCATTAGTGAAAAGACAGAGGCCAGTGATGACGGCAACCCCCGATGAACTTCTCAGGAGCTCCCAAGAATCCGCCCCCTCATAGTGGTCCAGCCGATAAGAAATCCTGCGCATTCCCGTCTTTCCCTTGATGAAACCCTTGATTCTCGGTGAGAGGACAACTCAAATAAGACATACGTTTTTATATATATAGATAAGGATTGGAATTTCCGCTGCGGACCTCAGCGAAAGCGAATTTGATCAACGCTGACCGATAGCGCGTCGTGAATCTGGGGTACCTAGTCCGAAGTCAATGCTCGGCCAACCACCGAGAAAATTGTCAGAGGTACGAGTTTTCGTATCTGTAAAGGGATTCGAACTTCGAAATCCTGACCAACAAGATTCGACCCCCGAGTCAATATCATGAAACTTGAAGAGAGGTCGAATCGCGAAGATCTCGTCTGATTCATTGGATCGCCAGGAAAAAATCTTACGACAGTCATACAGAAATCCTCGGAGGCTCTCCCGCATTCATGACCTTTCAGACACCGAGCTTTTTTGATCGTTCCGCTGAGTGAGATAATCGTTCAGCGTCGAAAGGACTTCAACGGTCAAATGATCTCCGATAGCTTGTTGCGTGTCCTGACGCAGATATGTGCTGTACAGAGGTAGGGTGAGGTCTGTGCACGAATCATTTGCTCCGAAGCAGTCGATTCCCAGGTCCTTGAGTGCCTTCCTCAGAATAGAAGGAATCTCAGAGGACTTTCGCGACCTATCTGAATTCATGCAGCTGTCGAAGAGTTTCAGCATTTCGAACTCTGATACCCGGATCTCTTCTGCGGCAGCATCATTGCTGAGGGCTTTCCCTATCTCTTCCACTCTCCGCAGGAGGAACGAGTTGATCCAGAGTTCGAGTTTCTTTAACGGATTGACGAGCATTTTGTCTCGATCGAACTTTTGATACTTCTGGAGAGTGCCCGAGCAAACGAAGAGGAAGAAGTTCCCGCATGGATCAACAGTCAACAGATCGATTACTGGATCCCTCGTATATCTTGCTCCGTTGTCTGCACGACGTACGAGTGCAAACTCGCTCGACTTCATTTTCTCGGATGTGGACGTAGAAAGTGAAAAGGAGGATCATGACTATCGAGGACAAAGCTAGCGTGATAAGCGGCAGCCATGTATCCCAATCCCATGTGTGAATGGTTGCCGCTGGGATCGTTCTCGATTCATACCGATCCCCGCTTCGTGACGACGGAGCCATCCCGTGTTGTTCCATCGATGAAGGGTCGGAGCCATAACGACCCCCTCACCGTGGTGAGGAAGCCAGCCTGACTTCTCCCATGGGTAAGATCTTGTCTTTGGTCGTTCCCCATCACGAACGCTCTACGTACCCTCGTGGCGCTCTAACATGACCGCGATCCGGAACATCGTTGTTGAGACGACTCGACGCCGCTCAGGAGATCGGGTCAGCAGCCGTTCGCAGCCGGAATTCCCCAAGACGCCTTGGAGCGAATATTGGTTTGACTCCGCAATTTATTGATGATTTTCATCCACGTGAGGAGGGCTCGGAGCTGTCGATTCATGAATCTCAGGAGACATCAACTACCGCGTCTTTGATCGATCCGCCCTTCCTACGGGCATCGAGCTCTGTCGCAACTTTTTCTTCTAGATCTCTGATGTCGTCGATAGTCATACCGTGCCACCGATCTATCCAACAGAATAGTTTTCGGTGAAAAACATGGAAAATTTTTCGTTGGAAACTCAGAATTATCCTCTCGATTATGTTTTGCAGTCCACGCCACTTGAATTCACACCGAACCAACTTATACGCCGTCATGAGCGGTTTCGTTTCATGCATCCACTTCCCGGGCACCAGAGGACCGCGTCCCGTTCTCGTTGATCGGAATTCAGCGGGATTTTCCGATGCTTTGGAGGCGACCGATGACGCGATATCAATGAGCTCGACATTCCTCGCGCTCAGTTCAGCGGATGTGAGTCCGAAAACGTTTATAGCCTCCTGCCCATCACCACAATGCATGGTCTCAATTGACATGAAAAAATTCTCTTTCATGTAGTCTGGATTTCTCAGAACCGTTTTACAGTACGGGTACGCATTCCAGGATTCCTCATGAATGATCAAAGAGCCCTTGGGAGCTATTGCAGCAATGGCTCTTGGCACTTTCGTCGAGCAATGGTAGATCTTGTGCGTGTATTGGCCCTTAGTGAATTTCCCCCCCAGGAGAGGGATATTGTCGAAAAACTCATTCTTCAGTACTTCGACCCCTTCCCCTCCTCCCGTCTGCTCCAGGGACGTCATGGCAACTGTGAAGAGTTGTCCGATCCGATACTCGTCTAGCGTCATGGGGAGCGGTATGCGATATCCCTTCATACGCATGGCCGCCGAAGAAATTCGCCGTATCGCTAGATCCCTCGGACTGATTCCCTCTTGGGAAGGTCACAGCGCCCTGGAGAAGGTGGACCGCAGTTATTCAAATAGGTACTCCACCAGCATCAGCCTCTCAATGCTGGCGGCGCGGCGCCGGCGGGTTGAGAGATGGGCTCAAGGCAATCGAGAGGAGAATTCCCCGTGTCTCAACTCACAATCGGTAGAGCGCGGTAGAAGTTCACGGAAGCTCTATGTCGTAGAATGCTCCCGACTTCTGGGCTCTCTCTGGCAAAATCGTTGTTTAGCCTCCATTAACAGTCATTCGATCGTCTATCGCGCTCCCCCGGCCTTCTTCGCGTGCGGTCGGCTCGTCGTGCTTGGAAATGGATGGATCCTCAGACCGACGCGGGACTTAGAATTCAGGTCTTTCTTCCGGGAGAATATAAATACCCTCGATACTCCGGTATTGTCGAACAAGCGATTCGCTCCTTTCCGAAGTCGGAGTCTTGGCTTGAGACCGCCAAACAAGAAGCTCGACCAGGTCGTACGTCTATGCGAACGATCGCTCTCGAATAAGTCAAAGAATGTTGCGGCTTGCGGAGCTCGCTTCCGAATGCCAGCCAATGTTGCCAACGGCTCCACCCCCGAGGATTTCCCTGAGGATGATCAGATAATAGGGAGAGTCCTATTCTGAACCATAGCCATAGAATACTAAGATCATGGATGCAAACGTCGTCAGCTCTGCAAGCAGCTCGAATACCTCAATAGGCAAGACTGGAAAGACGATGTGCAGCCAGAGAGCAGT